GAGTAATCTTTCTTTCTTTTTCCTTTAAATTCTTAAGTATAATCTCTCTCTTTTTATTTAAAAAAAAAGTGAACTTTTCATCGAGGAGAAGGCCAAGCAAATATGATATATTTCCACATATTTTAAACGTTTTCTAAATGGAACAACTGGATATCGAGAAAATTCTCATTTCGATAATCAGAATTAATGAATTTAATGAATTCTTTGTATAAATTTTGACGATTCATCCTATAATAGTATAAAATAAAATGGACAAAGACAGACGAGTCGAGAACGAAAAACAAAAGACGAAGAAAAGCGAAGAAAAGAAACCTCATTACCTCCCCCCTCCCCCCTTCTCTTAGATAATTTCCTCCGGTAATTAAGCAACTGGCAAAGAAGATTTAATCAAAAACGCAATCGTAGTTTTCTAGTAAACAGAGCCGAGAGTTCTATACCTCAGAGCGAATTCCATGAAAAGTAAAAGTGACCGAGCCACGTTGGATTTATCCATCGGCGACAGATCGAATCCACTTTGCTTTCGAGCAAAGTACGCGTTAACAGGGTGAATACGTGAAACGTATTTATTTTCAACTTTACGATCGATTTCCCGTAAAAAGTCGTTAACTGGTTCATAGTCGTAAAAATAATCCAGCTAAATAGACGCAATTTTCATTCCACTCGATCCGATCATTGTTAAAAATCGATATCTCGATCGAGCAATTATCGTTTCTTCGATTCGCGATCGTTAAGTAATTTGATCCAGAGCAAATTTCTCAACGTTTCGAACGGTGAGATTGAACCCTCGTTACAATGACGCACGAATCCATCCCGTTCACCTTTGCAACTGGTTTACAGCTACCGGACTTACTAGACGATTCTGGATCTTCAAGGTTAAAATTAACCATCTCTCGTTTTCTTCTTTCTCCCGTCCCCGCGTGCCTGGAATATCGAACGATCCCCGAGACCGCCATTCTTACCTCCGTTCCTTTGTTTCCTTCGAGATCAATGTATTCGATATACAGGTTTTTGTCCCGACGTGCTCGTTTTCCTAAACTTTATTTATTAGGGATTCCCCGGATCGGCGAATAAAATATTTTTCTCGGAGGGAATCTCGATTCGAAATTAAAATTCATGGCCCGTTATACATTGTATACGATATATATTGTCTGGTTCTTTAAAAGGTCTCGCCGATATCGGAATAAGTAACGGTAATAAAACGAAGAGGGTGAAGTCATCGCGTGGACTAGCTGTTCAAATGTCAGAGCAACTCGAATGTAAATAAGCCGTCGTTCCATCCAAATTCTCATTCAATCCAACTTCGATCGGTATGCGTTAAATCTGCGATAATATCCACGTATATCCTCTTCATAATAGATACGAAGTTGTTGCGAGCATTAAAAAAGATTGATGCTTTCTCTCGTACGGATCGAGTAAAAATATCATTACCGAAAGTTAGGCAGCGATAACCGATAGCAATTGAATGAGAATTTCCATTGGATGACAGATTCCTCGTTAGAAATCACCGAAAGCCAGTTCCGGTTATGAAACATTCCGAAAGGAACTCGTCGATCGAGCAACAGGTGGTTTTCGCCGTATCGTTCGTGGTCTCCGCTATTTCCCGGTTAAAAGCGTGCTCGCACGAGTCTCTCCGACTCTATAGAAAGTTATTTGACATTTAGACAGATCCGCGAGGGAATTTTCGATCCACCCGCTCGTTTATTTCATCAAGAGATCGGATTTTCTCCTTGTCTTCTTCTTTTTGTTCCTCTTCTTCGGGACGAATTTGGAAAAAATGAAAAATGGCGTCAACACACACACAGGAATGCGAATGCTTATCCTTTTTTTACTAATCTACCGATTCTATCCGAATGACGTTACGAAGCGACGTAACGTTAACGTAACGCGCTCGTTGACCGAAACGTACTCTCAAGGTAGAAAGTGGTCGCGGAACGGGTGTTCTTTCTTCTTGCTTTCTCTTCATACCCGTTGCGTAACGAGGAGTGGCTGATTGGGTGTCATGGCCCCGCTCTATTTGGATCGGACACATCGCATTATACTCGAGATCTCGAATAAAATGGGAAGCTGGTCGCCCGCAGGTGCACCGAACCGGTGCTCCTTTCTTTCCATCGATCGAGAATTCAACCGACTTGTATCTCACTCACTACGCGAATCCACTTTCGCCAGATATTTCGAAGAGTTGAAAAATACACTCGATATTAAAGATCGATTTCGCGCAAATAATTTCACCGTGAATGGTTAATTGATCATTCGCGTACAGTTATATATATTTACATCTAACTATTCATCGAACTGTACACATTGAATTATTAATTCGTCGCATCACTTTTCCGTTACAGGAGAACCGAACGGTGTCACTGCTGCTTTGCCTAAGTATTCTACTCGCGACGATTCATAACGGTGAGTATTTCGTTACCAACCAAATTTAGTTTCGTTAACTAGTCGAAAAACAAAGATTTAGTTAAACGATTCTTCACGGCAAGCAATCTTGCGAATTCATCGAGTAACAAAACTATCTATAACTATTTCAATGTGGTGAAAAGGAAGTTTATTTTAAAAAAATAATAAGGATAAGAACGACGAATGGCCCATTTACTCCGTGACCGAGTGTCTCTGATCTCTCTGGTGTAATTTCTCTAGCATAGCCGGTACACGTGGGGACCGGCGCACGCGCGGATGCAGTTTCACTGGACTCACCATATCTCGACCAGTGAAACGTGCGCACCTCGTCGGAGAAAACATTCGAGGCAAAAACGGGCCCGTTCGAGGTGTAGTCGATATAGCGGGGGGAGGGAGGGGAGAGACGTGGAAAGTACATTGTAAACGTAAAACAGCTCAGATATTTAAGGCGATATTCGTTCTCGCCAAGTTTTTATCTCTTGTAATCGATACGGTAATCGTTTCTATCCGATTTAAAAGAAAAAAGAAATTGACGCAATGTAAAATCACGAATCGATGGCGATTCATATGTATATATGAATATGTATATATGAGACAATATTTTCACAATATATATTCATGAAATATTTTTTCGATCCAAAAGTTTTAAAAACAAATTACGAGCAATTTAAGTTCGTGTTAAAGTACAGAGATTATAATAATCATCTCGATTCATATTCCAAATACAAAAAGTAGAACTCGTTCTCTTCGTAAAATTTCTCATACCGCAAAATTATGAATCGCTTCGCAAAACCGTGTAACGTAACATAGTTTCTAACGACGAGGCCAATTGTTTCGGATCGTTAAACATACTTACCGTACTTTGTACGCGTTTCAATGAAAAATAAAATAATATGCAGTTATCGAGTTAATGGGCGTGCAACGGAATCATCGATAATTGTCGATATACATAAGAAAATAAAAAGAGGAAAAGTTTTACGCGGTTTTAACAGGTACACTGTGAATTTTAGATAGATTTGCGGCTAGCTTTTACCGATATTATCTCGGATATTATGCACCGCTCTTAATTCCATTACCGCCTCTGCAACGCTCGTATTACGCGAAACTATCGCGCGCGTGGATAGAATCTGGAACACGTTCGATATCGATGTTGATCTTTGTCTCGAGTCTATTCCCTGGTCGATTCGATTATCATTATCTTGTACTCGTCGTGATTTCGAACCGTGGAAAAAAGGCCATGGAAATTGTACCAGATTACTTTTACTCGTTATTCGCTCGTGTTTCTCTCTCTTGTGGAAAAATTAAAAACGAAAAAAAAAAA